CACTCTAGACCTGCACACAGCTGCGGTTGTTCCGTGGGATGCGATGGTTGCCAGCTCTCTGCAGCTGGCCTTCGAAGAACTGGAAGCAGGTGGGCTCCTGCATTGCGAGCCTGGAGTCAAGCTCAGTAGAGACCTGTTTGAATTATTAGGCACTTCTTTCGAAGTAGATGATTTCCCGCCTTTTGAAGCTGTTCTCCATCGTTTTGCTGACTGGCTGCTGCACTCCGCTTCTAACATGGATATTTTCTTGGGACGAGATTTTTATACCAATGACACTTTAAGGTCATTGAGTGCTTTTGCCACGGGTTTCACGGACGTTTGTTTCTGGCAGATCTCTCGAGCCTACATGGTTCACACAGCGAAGAAGCCGAAGGCTCAACACCAAGTGCCCAACGCGGCGCTCAACTATTTGTATGATCAGCTGGTTCCCTTGCTCGGGCTCCCCCGGGACGATGCCCAATGGGCCCTCACTCAGCGCCATTTCAATAATAAGGGCAATTCACTCGAGGTTCTGTTGTTCATATATGCTGAGGAAGGGTCACATGGGGATTTCTGGCAGTTGCTCTGGGTTTTGTTTATGTACCAATACAAGGATTCACGGTTCCCTTGGATTGTTCAAGTCGTCTGACTAGTTACTTTGTCAGCTGCGAGTGAACTAATGACTTTTTCCCCGAAACTTTTGATCCTGGGATACGACGAATACTACGAACTGCTGCAGAAACAATCTACTAAGGAAATTGCGCCTACTAAGGAAAGCGCACCAACTGGCCAAAGGCCATCCTCCCCTCCTATAAAGGAGTGCTCCCAATGGTTGTCCGTTGTTGATTACGGTCAGCATCAAGTGCCCAGCTGGCAGGTCGATCCCAGCAAGTTTTTTGAAGCGTTCATACGGCAACTCCCACAGAGTTGTTTTGATGTTCCCACCAAATGCTGGGATGGCCGGCTCGTGACCACGATTTTTTGCAATTGCTTGGTACAAAAATGGGCCGTGGACAGAATTGTTCGCAACAGACAGGCCCATCTCATCAATGGCAACCACGTTTGCCACCACTGCGGCCTCTTCTTGGGTACATGGTATTACTATAATTTACCAAAGAAATTTAAGTCTAAGTCTGTCAGCCTCCCGAACGGAATGTTGGTTCACCATTTTCGGCTCTGTAAGCATCATTTATCAATATGGTATTATCGGAGGGGGAACAGAGTATACACAAGTTTTACAGGACTTGCCAAAACGAATCTCATAAAGCAGCTCGAAGCAGCGGGGGCCGCCAGCGGCTTGCCGGGAGACCACGGCTTTTCACCCCACAAGCTATTCTTCCAATACCAGCGACATACTCTCCCACCGGTCGTTCAAGCAAGTGGTCACGAACCCCGCAGTGCGTCGGGGGGGCAGAGGACACCAAAATTTAAGATCAGCGCAAGCAGTTCGCTGCAGACTCAGCTCCTACCAGGAAAGCAGGCGTAGAAGCCGGCGGGACTACCGCCATTGGCGCTCGGCTCTCGGCAACATTGCGAACCTCACCCTAGCGCAATATTGCCCCCCCCCCGAAAAGGGTGCAAGTTAAGACCCAGATATATCTAAATTAAAGGCCTTATAGATTTGACTTCAACTTAATGATTTAACTTGAAAAAGAAGATTTCCGATATTCCGGAACGTTCGATGCAGCAAGTATGCCTTTCGTAGATTTGTAAAGATTATTTGACGCAACCAAGATGAGCCAGAATGGCATCTACGGTCTAGTTCTGCGAAGACAGAATTTTTATAATTTATTTGTATTCTTTTGCGAACCTTTTGTATTTTAGCGATCGTAAGCTTCGATACGAAGAAAATTTGTGTCTGTTTTGTGTTTAGTAGGGTTCTAGGTCCCCCTAGGCGTGTCTACGCTATACGTGTGTAGCACCTGTTCTTGTACATAAATTAGTTTGCAGCTCTTCAGTCCGCTTTCGACTTAATTCATTTGGCTCAAATTTGGCTCAAGACTTAGCAGCCCAATATCTGCATCCGCAGCCATTGAAAAGGGTGTGCATCGCTGCCGCTCGCACACCGAACGCACTCGTATGACTTCACTTGGTGTTTCGATCAGGTCCAGTTATCCAACTGCCATTTCTGGGGGAACTTACCCCTCCCCCCCCTCCACTCCCCTCCCCGTCCCCTCCCCTCGTCGCCAGCACTACTAAATTCTGGACATAAGGTGAAGTCATGCGCTTAACAGTCACAGCAGTGCGACGCTGGCCATGAGGTTGCGCAATACAGCACGAACCCTGCGCAATGAGGTCGCGCAATGCAGTTTCGATGCCGCGCGTGCGCACCCGGCAGCCTGACACAGCGCGTACTGCGTTCCCAGACCATATTGCTCGACACCAACGAGCATCGATGCAACATAGCCTCTCTGCAAAGAACCCCTCGCGTCGCGGAACACCATTCGACTCAGCCTTATACCCTAGCGTGGCGAAATCTTACCGCATCGTGGAGCACGCCCACCATAGCGTGACGTCCATCCCTGGCAATACCGGCCGCACCCCTCCAGCACTATCCTTACAAGGGGGTTGGTCATTGAGTCACTGCGGCTTCGACGCAACGCGTGCAGGCCTGTAATGCTGACACAGTGCGTGCAGCTGTGGGACCATAGCTGGTACACATGCGAGCGTTTACGCATTGCGATTTTTACGCGCGCCTGTTTTCACACACCTAGACACAAACGAACGTCGACGCAACGCAGCCTCTCTGCAGAGCCGTGTGGCGCAATCTGATCGCAACGGTGTTCCTCTTGAGCCTTCTTATGCCTTCTTGTGCTCTCTGGCTTTGTTGGTTTCATCCTTGATTGACCAAGGGGCACGTTCCTGAAACACCGGAGACAGTCCCTCACCAGAAAAGGCCCCGACAGCTACTCGATCCGTCTCTACCTTTCGTGTTTCCCCGCTCAAATTTATAATATTAAATATAGAATAATGTATATATAATTTATTAAATTTCTAAAAAATTATACTATTGAAATTTTATATATATATATACATAAAATTCATTAAATTGTTAATTTATTTAGTTTAATTTGAAGGAAATGAATATATATTATATTTTAATTGGTAATATATATTATTATGAATAATATATTATAGTATAGATTATAAATATTAATTAATAGAAGTAATTGTATAATTTAGAATATTTTTAGTTAATATATTCTATAATAAAATATATTTTAATAATATCGTCATTTAAAATATATGTAATTTGTGATATTTTAAAATAATATAAAAAATATTGAATTTAGATATAAATTCATTTAATATAATTATTACTTTCTTTTTTATCGTATAATATAATTAATATTAATATATAATTAATAGAATATATATATATAATATCTATATAAAAAATATGCTGATTTAAAAAATCCAAAACAAATATATATATATGAATAAATATTATATATTACCTCGTCTATATTATATGTCCTATCTATTGTATATAGATTATTTATGTATTTTTTATAATATGTTTTCTCATTCAATTCTTTATATTATATTAACCTTGTTCACATCATAAATTATATTATATAATTCAAACCACCAAAATCATATCATTTAACTCATACAACTCATCCCATAACACCAATCAACTCAAACCACCCAACTCACATACCTCACCTCGCACTTGAGAGGAGGGAGACACGAAAGGTAAGACAGCGGGAAGAGAAGAGAACACGAGAGGCAAGAACAAAAATGCAATGTTCGACACATAATGATTTATCCCCTCGGAAGCGACCTTTCGTAAATATATGTTCATATGCATTCTAAATATTCATATGTCCTCGAAATGTTCAAAAAAATTCTTAGGAAATTAAATTTGCCCCATCGTTCAGATCATCGATGAATATTAAATCGGAACATCATAGGATTTAAACTATCTTAAAAATATAAAAGGTTCACGAAGACTCACGAAGACGCTCCCCAGGAGAAAATTAACGTGCTTCACAAAACAAACTCTAGATATGTATTTTTTCGGGCAACACCTTTCGTAATTAGAATTCATTCTTTCTAAATATTCAGGAGGGTTTCAATTCGAAGACGTTCTCCAGGAGAGAATTAAGTTTTAAAGGGAGGAGGATCTGTATTTAAAATCAATTCCAAGAGGGCGGGGTAGGGGGGGGGGGTTGTATTGAAAAATCAATTCGAGGGAGGGAGAAGATCTAAATTAAGCAATCAATTATTAGACCCGGAAATCCCAATATTTGCTTCACAAAACAAACTCAAAGTACCCCCTAAAGGATTACCTTTCATTCAAATTCATTTCACAACATCATAATTCAATTCACGCCACCCAAGTAACACCACTAAATTCACATATCTCAATTCAAACAGCCTCATTCAAATCAAAATCACAAAAAAAAAATACCACAACAACACGTAAAAAAAATACAATATACGAAAATAAAACGAACATAATAATTAAATAACAAACAAAGAAAAAAACACTTATATTTCTATAATTCTCTAAAAATATCCGCCGACCCCGGCCTATAGCCAAAGCCTAGGCGGGAAAACGCCTAAAACACCGCAAAATTAAATATTTAAACCAATAAAATACAAATTAGAATTAATATTGTAATTTCGAACAAAATATTATATAAATATATTAAATATATTCTTTTATATAATTATTAATATCAAATAAAAATATTTCATTAATAGATATATTATTTTTTTTAATCTAAAATTTTATAATATATATATATATTGTGTGGTTTATCGAATATATTTATAATTCTATTTATATATGCAATATCATATGTTTTATTTCTATTTTTATATATTATATCAATCGATATTATAATTAATATATTTATATTTATATCATAAATTAGTTTCGAAATATTTATTCATTCGTGATATAATTTAAATATTCATTCAAGTAGATAATGCAAAAAAATATATATATATAAATTAATATGTTTAGTGATATTATGTATCATTGTTTGATTATTTTTCTGAATGAATTGTCAATTATTTCTGATCGAATCTTTCTTCATAATGCGAAGATCTTCCAATAACCACGCAGGTTGAATCCCGTTCTGGTCCAAAAGTTCCACAAGCTCGACAGCCTCCTCCTCTGACCACTCACGGCGGAGCATCTCTCGGCTGATGCATCGAATAGCTTTCAGCGATGCATGATTTAAGGCACGACCAGTATTAGAGAGCGAGCTGTTTCTCATCACTTCTCCAAGATTGAATTGTGCCTTGAAGAGCTCAGGGGCAGTTAGTCCTGCCTGCCGTAACTCTGAATCTGGGAGGGTGCCACTGCGCTTGGCCACTAAGGCCCACAGTTTTACCAACCCTCCAGTCAGCACTTGAATGTGAGAGGTCAACATGGGATCAGCTTCGTCTAGGACAGGCTGCAATAGTCGCAAATGTTCAGCAAAAGATTCTAGCAAAGGCACCAAGGAATTCATTGGCAAAAGTCTTTGTTTGCCAGCGTCTGCCCGTCTGGCATCCACCTGGAGACACAATGCTCAAGGTTCTTTGGTTTGTGAGCTTTATTCGGATCATTGGGTTTGATGGGGGCTGGATGATGTCACACAAGCCTTCCGAGCGTCCCCCCAGCATGTCAACCCCAGGGCCTCGCAAGGAAAATGATGAGCAGCTTCGAAAGCTGAATGCTGGGCCGACCACTGGGGCCAGCACTGTGCGCCATGTGTGGCAGCAAATGGCCGGCCTCTGGTGCAACCGACGGTGCCGCATACAAACATGTACAGTGGAGGAGGCCCCAAAGCCAGCAAGCCTCCTGAAGGCCAACTTGCCCCAAGTGGAGCTGAGCTTCCAGAAATCTCGCCACAACCTGTGGCGAGAGTGGCACTGGCCTTACAGTCAGCATGTGCCGAGAGATAGTCCAAAGTACGTAATAACCAGTTGCTTGGTTTGAGCATGTTTGAGGATATCCACCGAGGCACGGGGAAAGAGGTTCCTCACGGCTAGCTCGGATGCAACGCAACACCAAAAGTTGTGAGAAACATTGCAGCCATGGTTTCTTATGTGTGTGTTTGCACCCGCTGGTGCAGCATGCAAGCAGAAGTGTGCTCAAGCACAAGTGTGTGTGTGTGTGTGCGAGCGCGCATGTGCAAGCTGCTATAGCAAGCAGTCATTCTTTCAAAACAGTTGACTAACGGTTGCAAATGCATGCAGCTGTGAGTGAGTTCAACCATAGCACAAGTTTCGTGCTGACATCTGGCCTGATCACCGCCCAGACTCAAAGAATGGCACGAGGCTAAGCCAAGAACCTAATCATGTCACAAACATGCTCATGTATGTTCAGCAAGTACGTCATCCTGATGACTAGGCTGCACTCTTAGGAGGCAAGGTTCTCGATGTCGTCCACGTTTCAAGTAATTTATAATATCTTCCATTCACGGCTTGTGCGGGTGTGCGCATGTGGTATATAGGTGTCGCATGCTTTGGTGGCAGCCGTCGTCGAACCTTGTGGCAGCAGCTGAAGCAACCCCACAGCCGCAGCAGCAGAAGGATCAGGAGCAAAAGCAGGAGCAGCAGCAGTGGTTGTAGCGGCTACTGGTATTGGATTGTTGCCGCGCGTGGTGGTTGCACCGCTGCTGGCAGTAGTAGCGATGGTATTTGTAGTGGTGGTGGTTGCGGTGGCGGTTGTGTGGGTGCGCACCTCGTGGCCTAGTGATAGCACCCACCAAGTGTGGATGCAGCTGTAACTCACACTTTAAGTCATGTATTATGCTCCAATTCGTTTGACCGACGTCGTCAAGCAGTTGAATCACAGAAAAGGATCTGAAAATGTGAAAAAAGATGAAACAAACCAACAACAGCTCGGACGAGCAGTTTCATCAAAGAATTGCGGGAAGTCAATGTTCTTCCAAGCTTATATAGCATTCTCCTGTGTTTGGAGGCTTTGCCAAATATCCTCTGCACATGGCACGCGCAAAAGCTGGTTCTCAGCAAGTGGTAGCCTGTGAAGAAGCTTGCCAACAATCGAAGGAAAGTGACAGCGACAGCCACTGCAAGTGAGAAACACTTCAAAATCTTCATAGCATGGGATCGGCGAGGAGCTATCTGCAATGCGAACCCGAATCCTGAGCCACACAGCGGAGTCCTACAAATGATGCTAGAATTTTTGCATCTACAGGCATATGCTGCGCTGACAGCAGGAAAAATCAAAGATTGCGGCCAAGCAACTTGCCTTGGCTCAAGCGCATCTCTCTCGGTTTCTCTTGAGGGAACTTTGGCAACTCAAGTCTTCCAAGCAAGGCACTGAAAAGAGATGGTGAATAAAGACGAAGAGACGCATACGCAACTGCCACATGAGCGAGTTCCATCCAGGACAAAGCTTGGATGGCTTCTGGCCTCAACAAGGGGCTGTGGTGGATGTGTTGGGGCCACCCAGCGACACACCGCAATTCCTCGTCACTACAATTGCCTGCAAAGGCCCAACGTGGTTGCGTTGAAGAGCCCGACATCACGCACCTGAGGGTTTGCTCAGTCAACTCTCCTCTCCTGCCCACAACAAGGAGAGGCACTTGATTGACCGAAACAAGCCAAAGCACTCGAAGGGCAGAGAAAGCTACAGCCACCTTTGCTGTTTCTTGAGGAGACAGCGGCTCACGCACAATGCGTCTCATGAATAGCTTGGACAATGATCTCATCATGGTCTGGTCTGCCACCGCTAAAGCTTCGAAAGAAGACCTGGCAAACGAGCAAGGCTCTGCCATCACATCAGCTCGATGTCCGTACAGTTGTTTGAGCCGAGCTCAGGGCAAGAGGCTGACGGCAGCTTCATTGCTGAAGCGTCCGCTATCTGAAGAAACTGTCAGCGCAATGGTTCGGGATATGGCATCCAGCACGTCCTTGTTTCTTCAACTTACTGTTGCACAATGTGAAGTGTCTTGAGCACATGCAGCCGGCTGTGGCAATGACTTACCGGTCCTCATGTAGGAACCCCATCCTTGCGAATGCATCCAAGATTTGCGCAATCTGCACAGCCGTGAAGGAACCAATCTCTTCTGCTGTATGGTGAGCGAAAAGTTGAAGGCCTGCAAGGTGTCCACACACGAATCTGACACTCTTGTCATTCGGCAGTTGAAGGAAAGTCGCTGAGGCGCCTTCTGTTGCTTTCGGATCTTGTTTCCACGGCAATTTTGCATCAGCCAATGCCATTAGCACCTGGAAGGGGCCATTGAGAAGGTAACTCAAGAGCTGCACTCCGCGAGTTGGAGTACAAAGTAGCCACCACGCCTCGCAGGTCTCCTGACCAAGGTACACAAAAAAGCTCCAAAACCGACGGATCTACAAGTGCAATCGGGCTTGCTGCCTCTGGCCGCAAGAAGTTTGCCAACTGCCCACCCCTATATGCGGCCTCGCGATGAGCACCGAGCACAAGAATTCCAGCAATGCTGGATGTCATGCCCTGCCTTCTTCCAAAACGAATCGGGCGTTTTTCCACGGCTGACAAATCCAGGTTGCAATGCTTTCCGCAGGGTTCTGACTAAGGCAGAGCAACCTGGCGCCATTGGATTCACGAGCTGAAAAAGACTCATCCGGCACTATAGCTACAATAGCTTTCGTGCACAATGACCTCACCCAGCAAGCCTGCTTGCGAATAAAAAGCACATGTCAGCGATGTGTACAAAAGCCACCAGCACGGCCTTGGACATCAAGTGGATCTCCAGCTCGACCTCGGAGTCGCTGGATTTCCTGGCGCGAACAAATCCCCATCCCGATCAATTCCGTTCTGTAAGGCTGCAGTGTCTAATCTTGTCAGAACCTTGATCACTGGGTGTGAAAACGTCTGGGTCCTGCCAGCCTTTTTGTGGGCTTGGGCTCGGCACTGGTGCAGTGCTATTCACCGGAAGCCAGCGAGGAGCCAAGGATGAGAAAGCCCGCACACCTGCAAGGAGAGTTGAAAGGACAATTGGAGCCAAGCTTGTTTACATGCCCTGCAGCCTTGCAAGAATCGAAGCCAATGACATCGTGCCCTGCCGCACGGGATCTTTCTCATTTGGCCGAAGTCGGGCCATTGCTTTGGCAGTGCTGCGCCGCTCCGGTCCGGCCCCCTTTGGATCGGACACAGCTTCCGATGGTTTAACACACGTCAACGTTGAGTCCACTGAGTACTGCGGACTGGGGTAGGCCAGCCGTGCTTTGCAGGTGGTATTGGTCATGCTGAACTTGGAAGGTTTGCGGCTGCAGTCATCCACATCAAGACAGGGGTTTCATGCCATAGGCTATGACACTCTGCCACGTTGACAGCAATCACATGTCCAGTGACAGCATTGCAGGCAAAAGTCTGAGGATTGATTTTTCGACACTCAGATGCCTAGAAATGCCTTAACGGCAGTTTGTAGCAAGAGCACTTTGTTCTGCCCTGCATCCTCAGGTAGTGGGGAGCAGAAAGGCATTCATTCTCCGGTAGAAAGTCAGCACTCTGGGTCAACAAAGTCGGGCACAACTTGAGGCAGCTGCTTTTATGGATCATCCCCTTCCTGCTGCTCCTGGGAATCTGTGTCGACTTCTTCTTCATCCTTCATCGCATCAATCATGACTCATCATATGATCCGGAAACTGAAGCTGCCGCATGCAGGAGGGCAGGAAGTTGTGAGAACCCAAGCAAAATTGACAAAAATCTCATTATGGGACCCTGTCCTCGAAGTCCAGGTCCTCTTCTTCCTGACTAGCTTTTTCTGCCGCTTCAGCCGCCCGTTGAGCTTCCCGCTCACGAATTCGGGCGTCACCTTGTTTAAGTGAAAATAGGATCATCCACAAACTCAGTGTCCTACATTTCCTGGAAACGGAAAGGGCACAGATCTTGGCCGTGAACGCTCTGCGCGTTCCTTCTTCAGTTCCTCTCGTCTCTTTTCTTCTGCCTCGTGTCACCAAATGGAGGTCCCTACCGAGGCCCTGACTCCTCCCTTGTTACTATCACTAGTAGCGATGCCCTTGTGTAGCGATCCTTGTTACTGTTACTGTTTGGTTCAGTCCATTTCGTCCTCCTTCTTCTTCTGCTGCTCCTCCAGTGCTTCGGGTGTTGCAGCATACCCGACAATGACGGACTCCTGTGTGCAAATCTCCATGGTGTCAGTGCTCGAAGCGTTTCCCCTCGCCACCCACGACACCCAAAAGCCTCTCTAAGCACCCCGGTGCCAATAGTCATGCGTGCATATCCATCTTCTCCCCATTCTTTGCCCCATGAGTTCTTCACCTTGGCGAGCACACTCTGCAACTAGTATGCCCGGAAGTGGAAGTGATTGCCGAGTAGCGATGGCCTCCAACCTACTAGCGGTGGCCTCCAACCAAATAGTGATGGACTCCAACTTAGCATTTACAGTAAATCATTCAAGGAACCAGTTTGAACGACCTAGCATCCAGCTGACTCTGGATCGATTAAGTTGGCAAGCTGGGCGCCCGACAAGCCAGTATGGCGTTCCCTCGGATCTTCCCCAGCCCATGATGGTCACCGCATGAATAATTGGTTCTCCATTCGCACCATACTGCTGGTTGGCATTGTCGGTCGGTGTGTACACCCCGCTTTTATATACCAAGAAGTCGTCCTTCAGCAGAACTGGTGCCACGACAGGACCTCATGACATGCACCCATGCAAGCATCAAAACATGGACATATACAAACAACGCTCACAAGCCGCACCTCGGTTAAAAATCTCTCGCCTGAGCTGGCCATCGAGTCGTCCAAAGCACAAAAGTCAGAAAGCAATTTCAACAGGATTTGTCAGAAGCATGGTAAGTTTGTGTCAAAGCAATGTTGGAGCGCCTGTGTAGTGTTCTGCCTTTGCTGCACAAATTTACGGTCTTCAGTACTTGGCAGGTTTGATTCGCAGATTCTGCAGAGACGAGCTGATGAACCATCTCCGCAGCATGCTTACATACAACTGAATCCGACTATTTATTGATTGCGTACTTCGTTCCAGAACATACATACATACATACATACATACATACATACATACATACATACATA